CCCTCAGGTGCATTCTCAGGTCCCAACTGCTGTAATCACGCAGGTCCTGGTCTGGGACTGGCAGGCTCGGCTGGGTCCAGGTAGAGATGTAACTAACAAGTATTCCACCCTGGGCAAAACCTGTCTGTGCCCTGAGGTGGGGGATGCTGAGCAACAGAGTGCAGGGAGAGGAAAGGAGGGCAGTCAGTCTTACCTGGAGGCAAAGGCCCCAGAGGCTGCTGCAGTTGAGTCTTGTATCTGGCCCCTCGAGCTGGACAGCAGTGGGCTGTGTCCTGCACCCAGGCCCTCTGGCCAGGTGGCAGGGATGGTATCCTGCACCTGGCCTTTCAGCCTGGCAGTGAGAGGCTGTTGCAGCCCTGCCCTCTCTGCCAGGGCTGAGTTCTCCATGGAGCAGGTAAGCAGAGGCAGCACAAGTCTCCCCCTCCTCTCTTTGTTTACAGTCCTGCCCCTGCTTCAGCCCCAAACCTACCCTTGCCTCCAGCCCTTTTCCTTCATTCCTACCAGCCTTTATGTGCCACACACAGTGGTTGCACATGCCATTTGTGGCACTCATGCCACATGTTGATCAGCCCTGGTGGTGCCCATGGCCTGGTAGTTAGAGCACTTTTCTAGGAAGTAGGAAATGCAGGTTCCAACCACTTCTGGGTGAAGGGAGGCTATAACCTGGGTCTCTCATTCCATGAGCAAGTGACCTGATTGCTAGGCTACTGGACTAAAAAGTGAGAGAACCTCCACTTGTTGTGTTTTTTCTGTAATTAAAGTTTTGGGACTTAGTCTTATACATGTAACTAGTGATGTGTATGGCCAGAGTGCAGCCTATTGAGTTGCTCAGTAGGAAAATGCGGGGAAAATTGCAGTTATGCAAGTGCAAATAGAATCCAAACTGCGCTTAAACTCCAAAAATTGCAGGTACACAGTTAGGTAACTACCATTTAGGTGCATAAACATGAAATAGGCTTAGTCCTAAGAGCTCAATCTAGGTGCCAGAAAAGCAAGTAATCATGGGTTTAATATTAACTTTACATTGCTTAACTTTGACTCTACATACATGCTTACAAACCACAGGTGATAAGGTCTGCTATGATTAATAGATATGACTGTCAGAAATGACCAGTGACATTTAAATGCTTCTATGGAAGAACTCTGATTTTTAAAGTAAAATCTTTTAATAAACTGCATTTGCTAAATTAATAGTTAATTATTTCAAACTAGGTCCTCTTTAAAACATTAGTCTTTTCAGTGTGTGCTGAAGGTTAACACACAAAAATTATGTCTCACTGATTCAAAATATAAAATCAAGAGCTGAGGAACTTTTACTGAAAAAGCCTTACCTTCAGCTACTCTAATTTCAGAATTAAATACTGCTAGCAAGATGATCTTTGGAATAATCTAGCATTTTAAAAACAATAATAATACTATTCAAATAACAATTTCTTGTTGACTCTATGATATATCCTAAACTGACCTAATGTGAGGAAGAGAAAGATATTCAACCATATTTCCATATGAGATAAATGACAGTGGGCGTTTCCACACGAGACGCTATGGCTCATTGCTACAGCGCCATAGCATTGCCAGGCATGAACCATGATAACAAGGCTACTGCGCAGTAGCATCTTGTGTAGATGTGCCCGCTGTCATTTATCCCATATGGAAATATGGTTAAATATCTTTATCCCATATGGGGAATATAGTTAAATATCTGTCATGTAGACATGACCAGTGGTGATGAAACTTAATGCAACATAAGATATACCAAATATGGATGGCACCCTTACCTGTTTCCTTTTTAGCTAGATTTAGCACCTGGAATTCTACTGCACGTCACCAAAGAATGAACATCAATAGAATTATTTTTGTCACCAATATTTAAAAATATAACTGGGAGAAAACAGTAAGTAGGATTAACATGCAATAATCCTTAGGCTGCTTACTAAAACAAAAAAGAATATGTAAGTATTTTATAATTACCACAACAACTAGCACAATCACTGTGGGTGACATCATTTTTTCCAAAACCTGGTCGACAGCTGTCAATGCGAGTAACTTCAAAACTGTGGTCTATATAATGTATTGCAGGTATATTCTGAAACTCATGCTTCAGAACAAGAGGTTGTTCACGGAAAAATTCTTCAATGAGATCTCTTGCCTAAAATTTAGAAACAGTGGAATGATAAATATAACAAAGTGGTTTTCTTTCTTTTTCTTCTTTTTTTTTATAAATATACATCTTTAAATCCTTTTTGTTCATGAGATGCAGGCTATGCCAGGTGTAACTGTTCCTGCAGTGTTCCTACACTGAAATGGAGTCATTTTATTGGCATCAATGGGCCCAGGATCACATGCATTTGAAAACACCATCCAGTTACATATAAAAAAGAATGTACTTTAGGTCATATGTAAAACTATATTCTAGCTATCATTTATAATCCAAAAGTCCATGTTCCAAGAAAATTAAAATAAAAAAATATAATACATCTAACACAGTAATAAACCTTTGTTGGAAAGGGAGATATATACATCTAATAAATAATTTCAAATCATGATAATTTCATATTTTAGAAAGTAAATCTATCAGAAACATTAACATTGATTTCTCCTTTACAAGTTTTGGATCAAACTGATATTCAAATGAAGTTTTCTATTTTGAGCTGAGTTTTTTAAAATCTCTGCATCACTTAATATTGCTGCTAAATTCATAAAATGTTGGTAAGGCTGAATCGATATGTGTAAATTACAATGCCTGAAATTCACTCTAGCATGAAAGGACCATGAGAAGCCTTCCACGACTTTTCAACTTTACTGGCCCACTGAACACAATCATGGGCAGCCCAACCCAGGTACAAAGCAAAGTACTCTGAGGTAAAAAGTTCTGTGGAACCTCTGCATATGCTGCATATTAAGGAATACTTTTTCACACCCATCCATGTAGTGTGATGTAAAGAGGGTCACTGGCTGATAGATGAAGAGAAAGGAAGAGCCACTGGTTTCTTGTTTACATGAATCAATTGGGTCACTGCTTAAAGAACTTGAAGTAGTCATGGATATTTTCCTGATCTTAGGTGGAATAACAGTACCAAAGTACCACACTACCTGTGGGTTGGTGGAATGGATTCCTGTTCCATGATGCTCTTTTTAGTGTCCTCCACAAGCCCAATTATTCAGGCTTTCTACAGGGAAATGTTAATTTTACTTCTAGCGAGGTTTGTAGTATACAGTTTACAAAAAGAAATCTGTTTTAGAATGTAGAATATTCACAATTATTTTTGTTATTTTTGCATTACAAATATCACCTTTTGAATTCTCTTGTTGGTTTCATCTTCACAATCATAAGAAATCTGACGGCAAACTGCTTCCCATCCTGGGGCAAAAGGATTTACTATAAAGAAACAGAGGTAAGGTACAGTTCATCATACATATGTTGAAGAATTCAATACAATTAAGTACCCTAAAATTAATCTTTCTTTTAGAAATTTACTTTACAAAGCACTGGGCGTGTTTACACATTCATTAACGTGCCTTTGCTGCTGCACATTAAGTTTAGTACCTCTAATATGAGGTACTAGATAAAGGTGCAGTAGCTGTGCTAATGTGCAATAGCAAAGGCAACTTTTTCTGACACTTAATGTACAGTAGACTAATTCTATTGAGCATTAGTGCGTTAGTGATAGCCCAGTGTCCCAGGCTGGCGGCAGTAAGCTGTGCCTCCTGCTCCGTGCCTCTGGGAGGCTTGCCCTCGCATAGCCCCGAGTGCCTTGGGCCAACATGGCAGGGGAAGGGGGTGTTAGGCAGGGAGTGGGTTGCAGGCAGCCAGTGCAAAGGGAGGGTGAAGTTTGCCTGGTTTTCCTCGCTCCATGCCTGGGAGCCAGGCAGCTGCAGCTGCCTCTGCCCAGCTGTTTCCTCCTGCTCTGTGCCCCCAGGGGAAGAAGGGTCCCTTCCCCAGGGGCACTGCTTGTCCTGTGGCTGGGGGGGGGGGAAGGGACTTGAGGAAAGCAAAAAGGTCCTGGGGGGGAGGCAGGGCTAGTGAAGGTGACTGCAGCTCCTGAAAGACTGAAGCGGGGGATGCATCCCTATGCAATAGAGCTGGCTTCACAGGGATGCATCCCTATGCAGTGGATCTACCTGGGGGGTGGGGCAAGCTGGAGAGCTGCGCCCCACTTTCCTCCGCAGCCAGAGACACCCTGAACCATCTGCCTTGCAAGTGCCGGCAGCTGCGGTGCTACACATGGGTCAGGGCACCTGTAGCTGCTGGGGAAATGGGGTGCACCTCCCCGGCCTGTGACCCCCCACCGCGGTCCCATTCCATAGGGGTGCATTCCTCAAACCCGGCTCTATTGCATGTGGATGCATGCCCCGCCCCAGCCTATCAGAAGCCGTGATCGCCTTCACTAGCCGTGCCTCCCCCAGGATCTTGCCTCCCCTCCCGACAAGACCCAGCAGAGACTCCTCGCCCTCCAGAGGCACAGAACAGGAGGAAAGAGCTGGGCAGAGCCTGAGAGCCTCCAGCAGCTGCGGCTGCCTGGCTCCCAGGGATGGAGCGAGGAAAGCCAGGCAAACTTTGCCCTCCCTTTGCACTGTCCACCTGCAACTCACTCCCCCCTAAAACGCCCTTCCCCTGCTGCTCCAAAGCACAGGGGGCAATGCAAGGGCTCCCTGCCAGCAGCCTGGGACATGAGGATGTCACTGCCCTTTCCTACTTCCCATCTACACTGGCGTTCAGGCACATTAATGTAAAGTGCTGTTGACTAGTACCTGTATCTGTCAATACTAGCAAACGGTGATTTACATTAATCTACTGAGCAGTAATTGCTGCGCACGTTTAGATGGTGGCACTTTACTGCACATTAGATTAGTCTAACACACAGCGGGCATGTCTACATGTTCATTAATGCACAGTAGTTACTGCGCATTTAGTTTAGTACTTGCTCAATGAAGTACTAACTAAATGCACAGTAACTACAGTTACTCCACAGTTGTGCCGGAGTTTGGTTTTGTGCCGGAGCTTGTGACGTTTACTGCACAGTAGCCTAATAACACTGCGCAGAAGTGTACTGGTATGGTTTTTGACCAGCCTGCTACTGCGCAGTGCTATTAGGTTACTGTGCAGTAAGTGTCTAGGGTAGACACGCCCAGTAAAATGTCATTTTGAAATAGTTCTTATGACCTGAGATACTTAACTGAATTTTAAGTAGAAGAAAATAAATAGCTAATCAGGAAGTAAAGACAAAATTAAATACCTCCAACTTACTAAAACCTGGGAAGAAAATGCTAATGCTAAAGAGATTTAAACATGCACAAATCAAAGAGTCTAACTGGTTCATAATTTTAGGATACTAAAAGAATTATCTAACAAATACTCTGAATGGCTAATAATTATTTTGTAATGGTCATGCAGAGCTTGAGACATACAGAAGTGCTGTAAAAAGAAATGCATTATTATTCCTTAAGGGAAAAAAAGAGTGATCCTGGCACTTTCCATTCAGTGACTTAAATCATTTCAGTTTCCATCTAACGACTGAATCACTCCAATTTCCACTGAGTGACTTCATCATAGGCAATTGCTAATAAAATGATGGAAAAAACATTACAAGAAAAGATCTGGAAACTGGAGGTAGAAGAGAATGAATCCCTCACATGTTAACCTCAAACTGCAAAAAGGTCCCATGTCTTATCCGAACTCTGGGGCTTTGCATTCTACTTGTAAGAAAAATTTAGGAAGAATGTCTCCTGATATGAACATACCACAAGACAGCTCCAAATCCTGTTGTGCGCATTTCTCTGGGTGTAGGGCAGTCAAACAGCCCGTAGAAAATGTAGCCAAAGCACCCCTGCACAACTTCAACTTCCTAATGCCACCATACCCATAGGAAGCATGGCAAGAAAAATAGGGTAGGCTGCTCTAAGCTGCTCTGGGAGTCAAATCCCAGGACAAGTGTGCCACTTGCAAAATATGAGATAGTGCTACTGTTATAATTAGCCACCACTATCACCCAGTGCTGAAAAATCCCATTGCAACTGGGATATGGCATACTGAATGTGGCAAAACTTACTCCCATATCTCCTGCAGGGCCAATCCATTGAGTCAGTACTGATCCCCAAAACCATCCCCTTCTGTAACTGTTATCTTGATACCTGTCCCCTCCTCAAATACCTCTTCAACCCCCACCCCATCCTTCTGTACGTTTCAATCCCCATCCCCTCCTGGACTGCTGCTTTGATCCCTGCTCCCTCCCTGATAGCCACTCTAATGCTTTTCCCCTCCTCAACTGCTACTCTGATCCCTTCCCTCTCCCCAAGTGCTGCTCCAGTACCCTTCCTGACGGCCAGTCTGATTCCTACCCCTTCCCCAGTCTTCCCCCATGTGCTGTGGCTTGGCCACCACTGATCATCTAGTTGATCCCCGTATGATTTATCCATAGAATAAATCAGAAACACAGAATTACTGAATTATTAAAAACAAATAAAGAAAGTTAAATCTGATAAAATAATACAAGACAGTAAATACATGAACTGTCTTAATGTAGTAAAGCAGAACAATTTCCTTTTCTGCAGTACCCTTTACAAATGACACCAATTAAAGAATATTTAACAATAAGTTTGTAAAAAGTAAAAACTACAAATTCAGCCAACTGAAAAGCTGCATTTTAGCTCCACCTGTGGGCTAACAAGATAAAATACAGAAACTCAGGGAAAAAAAGCAAACAAACAACATATGAGGAAACATATGAATCCAATATAATCACTCAAGTTATTTACATTACCCTTAATGTAGCTCTTTTTAAATAAAAGATCAGTGTGACTCATAAACAAATGCTGAAATCTGTTACCTTTAAAAGTAAAAAATAGCTCATGCAGGAGGCCATGTTTCGGTGGCTTGACAACATGGCATTTGTATGATGGTTCTATGATATGGCATGTCAAATAGGAGATTAAGTCATCCAAATGTATCTTCAGTCCTTCAAAGAATTGACCATTGGCTGCTAGGCTGCATTCTTTCGTAGTAAACCGAACAGATATCTGGTATGTGTAGTCAGGTTCCCGGTATGCTTAAAAATATGCACATAAATATATGCAATATAATATTCATCCTATGCATATTTTGTAACCTATATCTTAAATGCTGACTTTATTTAAAAGTAAAGATTTATTTTCCTCTTAAACACAATGGGACAATTTTTTTCTAAGGCTTCATGGATTTAAGTAATATTGTAATATTAGGATTAATTTAGGTTGATATGCACAATAATTTTAATGTGTATTTTGTATATTTCTTAACCCAAATACTACACACAATGAAATGTTACACAGCAAAATAGTGACAGAACTAAAGAAGAGTATTTTGGAATGTATGCACATTTTAAAAATTAGAAATATATGAAATATATTAGATGAATTTATTAGAGATCATTCCTTGCACTTGCAGGTTGAGATAGTTATGAGTCTGATTGCAAAAAGAGATCACATCCATTTCTTTCTATTTTATTTATCTTCTTTAGAATTGCTAATTGTTTTTGGCAAAGTTACTAAACTGCACAAGCTGTTACCCTGCCACTATATTAAACAGCATACCATCAAGTAAGATCAGAATGCTTATTTTATGTCAGCATAAATTCTCTTTTTGGGCACCTCTTTGGAATAAGATCACAGTCATACCAGAGCCTCCTTTTCTGATCTGGGGTACCTTTGGGAGGATTCAGCCTCATCTATTTTTTCTTCAAGGTTAGAAATTATTTCATTTTCAGTAAGGGTCATTGACCAGGTATTTGTGACAGTTGTACTGATTTGACTGAAACGAAAGCTGTGTTGAAATGATTTTATTTCAAAACTATTAAGAATATTAAAACTATTATTAAAATTAGCTATTAAAATTAAGCTATTAAATGAATATCAAAACTATTTAATATTATTAAAACTAGTATTAATAATTATAATTATAATTAATTCATTCTTTTTAATATTATTAATTATAATTAAGCCCATTATTAAAACTATTAAAAGAATATCAAAACTATTATTAAGAATACTAAAACTGCTTATCACTGGGGTGCTTGATTTAATTTTTCTAGAGTAAGATGTTATCTAAATTGCATTTAATAAACCATAAAATATTGTTGCATACAATACAGGCTCTAAGCCAAAAAAGTCCCATGCACTAGTTCACTAGTAACTGTGCATGCCTTACCATATACCATAAATTTATATGCCTTATATTTTTCTTTCTCTTCTTGCGTGTCAGTTTTGATGATATCGTAAGAAAGAGTGCAAGTGTACGATCCAGACACAGACTCCTGAAAACCTCTCACCATCAGCTTCCCTGTTTTAGTGACAGTCGCATAACTTTGTCCTAAAACAGAAACAGGAAACTCCTGTCAGTGCTTTTGAAACACACACTGACGCAACATTTGTGTAGTTTATTCACAAGGAATCACATGAGATATCTTATTTACTTTCAGGTATACATATCAAGTTGCTCATACATATTGGTTGGAAATTACCTGATCTTATGATCTTCAGGACTTGTTACAAAGTCTATTTGCTATCTCAGGCACTTGATAATTTGGAGGGGAACTGTAACTGTAGATTTTAAAGGGGATTTGTATAGCTATCACAGAAAATTAAGATGTATTTTTAAATAATGGTAAGAGCACAAAGAGCATATAGATAGGTGTTTTTTTTAGCATTTCTGTATACCAAAATAAATATACACTTTCCATATGTAGATGTATGTATATATGAAATATTAAAACAGCCTGTAATCACATACATCAAAAGACATATTTTTATATGTTAGTAAATTATGAATTATAATTTGTGCCTTATTTGCTAAGTGTAGTTCAAAATGGTACTGTTTTGACAATTTAAGAACTGGCAAAAACCAGTAATCTTAACCATTACAGAATATGCACGTGCATCAAATACTATATGAGTGAATATTGTTTAATAATTCTTTTAAAAAAGGAATCATTTTTAATTTGTTCCATTTATATAATGCTATAGAAAAAATAAACAAGCAGATTTTCCCTGTTTCATGCCTATAATCAGATGGAATGGCTAGCTGGTCAAGCAAGGAAAAGGAAGCGCCTTATAAATGAAGCTTTTCTCTGAAGCTTTATTGCTGAGCCCATGGATGCTCAGGTTAACATCACAAAAAGGGAAACTAAAATCAAACACGGTGAGTCTACGTGAGATGCTTTACTGCAAATTAGACTAATCTAATGTGAATTAAAGCATCACCATCTACATGGATGTGTCAATTACTAGGCAGTAAATTAATCTAATGCATTATTTGCTAGTACCTATGAACCAGTGGTGCCTCCCATGACTGGGGGGGCACCATGGCGGTGAGTGGGAAGTGGGGACTGCCCGCAGCCGCTGCCAGCGATGTCAGTGGAGGGCCAAGGGGTGGCAAGAGGCATGCAGTGAGCAGGGACCACCTGCAGATGCCACCGGCTGCGTCTGCGGCAGAGGGTGTGCGTGTGCGAGTGGCAACTGTCCACAGCTTTGCTGGCAGCCAATCTTGGGGGGGGGGCATG